CTGGACACTGTGAGAGGCCGCTCTCTAAGGGGCTCCAAGCACCATCTCCTACGACGCTGAGCACTTTGAGTACTTTGCTGCTGACAGCTGACACTAGTAACTGCTGCCTCCTTCCAAAATCCCCACTCCCTTGGCTTCTGCGATGAAACCTTTCTAACCTCCTGCCCCTCTGGTCCCTGAGCTCCACCCTTGCGCAGTGAGAAGGGGACCCCGCTGAGTAGCACATCCCTGGCGCCCAGCGTCTGCTCCTGCCGGGTGTCCAGCTGCCAGCGGGCAGCTGCTGATCAGGGCTGCTGGGCGCCACAGACAGACCTTTCCTCAGCACCTGCGCCCAGCACCCCAGGGGGGTGGACAGGACCTAGCGAATCGCACGCCGCCTCTGAGTGGTCCCCCCGGAAATCACATCACTTCCTACATTTCATCGTTCCAAGCAAACCGCGTGGCTGCATCTAGCTCCAAATGCGTTGCAGTCTTTGGAGGTAGAAAGTATTCAATGAGTACATATTACATGTGCTGAGGACCCACTGTGTGCCAGGAGCTGTGCATTATGGGTAAAAGGAGCTTCTGCTTCCTGCTGATATTCACGGTGCACATTAACGTCGTGTGTGTTTCTTACATGTCTAACAACACCCAGAACCAACGTGGATCCATCACCTACCAGGAACCCTTGTGAAACTCCACTCACGAGCAACACCTGTGAGCCCTTAACTGCTGCCCCTCACACCGCCCAGCCCGGGAGACAGGCTGGAGCCTCTGCCTGCAGTTCCCGCCGGCGCCTCGCAGGTACAGGCCTTTTCTCCTCCCCAAAGCCGGCGCCACAGTGTTGGCTCCTACGTGCCTGGGCAGCAGGCCCTCGTGCAGTAACATATCCCCACCCATAGCGCTGGCCACTCCTTTCCACTGTGCCCCTCCTACCCACACCTGAGGACTCACAGGGGGCCCTGCACCCAGGGACGCTGTCGGGTCGCCTGCTCTTCAGGACGATGGTGCCAGCAATGATCCCCGCCAGGCCCACCAGCAGGCCCAGGGCACAGACCACAGTCTCCATTGTCTCGGGCACCTGGATCGGCTCCTGGGCCTCTGGGGCACAAAGGAAAGATGAAGTCAGAAGTGTAGGAGCAAGAGCTGGCCTTGGCCGTGGGCTTTCAGGGGCCCTGGCTGGTGTGCTCAGTGGTGAGAGTGCCGTCCGGTGCACCAAAGCGTCTCAGGTTCGGTTCCTGGTCACTGGCACATACCTGGGTGGCGGCTTCATTCCCTGCCACCCCCAGTCGGGTGCATGCAGGAGGCCACCAGTCTCTGTGCCTATCTCACATCAATGTTTCTCTCTCCCCCTCCCTTCCACGCTCTCTGAAAAGCAATGGAAAAAATATCCTCATGTGAAAATTAAAAAAAAAAAAAGAGTTAGAAACCAGGAGATGGTGACGTTGGGTAGAGTGACAATATGCCACAGAATTAAGAGTCGCCTGCTCTTCAGGACGATGAGAGCAGGCGCCGAGGAGAGAGGGTCCTGGACTAGAGACAGTGTCAGGATGGTATTGCCTTGGGTGCGGCTCCGTACCCCAGTGCCCGAGGAGCGGCCCGGCCAGGCCCCAGTGCTCCACCCGGCAGTCGTAGACGTCCTCGGCCGAGGGCACGAAGGTCAGGTAGTGGAACTTGTGGAACCTGAACTCTGTGCTGGGCAGGAAGATGGTCTCAGCCACGCCTTCCGTCACCGCCCGCCTGTTGCGCAGCCAGGTGACGTTGAGCACGGGTGGGAAGAACTTGTCCACATGGCAGATGAGGGTGTTGGGCTGACCCAGCTCCACCGGCTCCTTGGGAAACACAGTCACCTCCGGGGGCTCTGAAGGAACAGCACCTGGTGAGTCTAGGCCTCCGGCTGCCTCTCAAGGGTCCACCTTGGGCCCAATATTCTCCAGTTATAGAATAACTGTCTCAGGCCCACCCTTCGCCCCCAGGGCTCCCAGGTCAGAGTCACGGCTTCTTGTGCCCCTGACCTGGCCTCCCCTCAGCCCAACCTCTTCCTCGAATAAGAAGGCAATGCCTCCTCTGACCCTCTAGATACTGCCCCCTCACGGGGCCACCACAAGTGGGCTCTGGGCTCCCCCACCCTGCCGCTGGGCTGAGGGACAAGCAAGGGTAAGCAGTACCATTCGTGGCCCTGGTGTGGTTGGACCGCTGGATCAGGGTGTCCAAGTTCTTTCTTGCCATGACGATGTCAGCAATCCCCCTCCGAGCATCATAGTCAAAGGTGTGGATAAACTCCGGCAGCCGCCAAACAGTCTCCTTCTTATCCAGGTCCACATAGAACTGCTCGTCCCCATCAAACTGGAACATGTACTCCCCAGAGGGGCTGTGCGTCTGCACAAACTCCGCATACGTGGACACGTGGTCGGCTGCAAGGAGGGAGGTTGGAGAACAGGTGAATAAGTAGGAAAAATAAACAGAACACAGAGAGCCAGTAGATAAAGGAAGGTTATTGGGAACATGAAGGAATAACACAGAACATGAGAAATGCAAAATGAAAGAAAAGAACTGGGGAAAACAATGAGAGAAATTACTGTTTAAAATTCAGGATGTTTCTCTTGT